TTCCGTTTAAAATAATGCTTGCAAAATTGCACGGTTTTATCTGAGAGATATGAATAAAGAGGGTCTCATTAAAAAAGTTCGCCGTTTTAACCATGCCCGCAAAACAATCTTTAAGCAAAGAAATCCACTGCAGCTACTTAATAAAATCTTTGAGAAGAAGCTTGAACGCTTTTTTCCCTTTTCCCTACATTAGCACCATGCGGTGCATGGTGCTAATGTAGGGAATACATTTAAATGTATTTTTAACACAATTTCTGTGTCAGTTGCTGCATTTCGCATTTTCAACACAATTTCTGTGTCAGTTGCTGAAGGTGAACAATTGTTTAGTAAACAGATGATTTTTGAAAACTCTCTTCGTTTGACCAAGGGCCAGGATAAAGTTACTGATCTTTTAATTATTTTGATTGAAGAAGATTTTGCTAAAAAAGATAAGGCTAAAAAGGTGAGCTATGACAATGTCATCGATATTTAAGCGACCAGAAAAACTCAAAAATATCATTTTTATGCGCCTTATTTATTTTTCTCTAATATTTTGTTAATGGACTTGTCATTTATTATTTTTAAAGCTAATATTTTGATTCGTATGCCAGATTTGATTAATGAACTGTTTCTCAATCCAGACAATTAATAGTAACGTAGAAAGAAAATGTCCTGTATCAGAAATAGATAATGGCTGTGTTCACAAAACTTTTAATTTTTTGGTTTTAAATAGGGACGCTGTTCTCCATTTTTGACCCGGGCGCCATTGGCGCTCTTGAAGGCCCTGTTTGTTGTAAAATATAAATAACATTTACGGGACAAAACAATAAGGCTGTTGCATCTTACTCACTCCCAGTTATATCTTTTTCGTTAACAATATTGCAAAAACTTAATAATAACATCTAAAAAAACAACTATAGTAGTGAGAGCTGTGTAGAGCTGATTTGCAAGCTTTTGTTGGCTTTTCAAGTATTTAGTTGCATTATTTCACTCAAAATTCATTTTTGAGACTTATATCTACATTTTATCTTAGATGAATTTGTTGCTATATGCAATTAGGACGGAGAAAGGTTTGATCACATGGTCCCCCAGATAGTAAAACGTTATCTGGGCAAATAGAACCTATATATGTTGGTTGAATACTACTAAACTATTAAAAGAGATCAACAAGAAGCTAAACATGCATTTGATTTTGGAGGTCACTGTTTTTTAAAATGTTTTAAAAGAATAAACTTCATGATTAATAGTTTTTTTTTAATGTTTGTTTTTACAGCCAACCACCAAATAAAAAAAGATATATTAAAACAGTCTATAGGGAACAATTGTTGCGCGATTAAAAAACATAAAATTAAATAGCAACATGATTTGGAATATAAATATTTCCAAACTAGATATAATTAATTAAGACGCTTAGAATTTTTTTTTAAAGAAATAATACTAAACTTGCAGATAAGCATTATTTCAAATTTTTACTGGATATTTGAGAACAGATCAATATATACGCTTAATTTAAAAGCAGCCAAAGATTACTATGAACAATGATGCATTATGATGCAATAAGATAAATTTTTTTTATTCACAGTTCACGGTTTAAAATTAAAAATTGTCCAATATTTTTTTCCATCTTTATATTTTATGTTTAGTATAAAAATAGTTTACAGGTAAATTTAAGTCTTTAAATATTATAATATACTAAAAAAAATTTATCTTTTTATGAATAAAGAAAGTGTAGGCTTGTAAAAGACCACCAGGTCATATCCTTTAGACTCGTTTGAACATTAAATATAAATTAAAATTAAAATGTAAAAAAAGTAAATCAGCAAGATAAAAACGCACATAGGCGAAATTTGAAAACTAAAAGAGAATTTTTGAAAAATGAATTTGCATTATTAACAATTATTCACAAGTTTTTACTTATTTAAGCAAAGATAACAAGAAAAATGTTTAAATTTTAAAGTCTTATTATATTCATGCGTAGTTAGGTAGTAAAAACAGTTAAAATAAAGTCTTTGAGTTATCAAGCTGAAACCTCTTAAAGATTATCTTAAACTTACTAAGATAAAATCTAATCTTTTTAATATATTAAAATAGAATCTCTTTAGGTTAACATATAACCATGTGTATAGAAAGTGGTTACTTGCTGGTTATTTTTTGAGATTTAGTTTAAATTGGCAAATTTTCAAGTATCAAATCCAAATTACAAATCATGAGGATTACAAAGCCTGGAATTTTTTTTTTTTGAGTTTGAAGTTTTTAGTTTTAAAGTTTTTTAATATATTTTTGAAACTTTTGTTGCTGTTTATCCTATACTGTATGTTTTTAAATATTTTTTTATAAATCTTACTAACTTGTAAGTTAATTTATTTCTGCCTGAAAATATTTGCTGCAAAAGGTTACTAATTGTTGCTGCAAATGGTTACTAATCTTAAACAAAAATTGAAAGCATTGCAATGTTTTTAGTTTTATGCAAGTTTAAAAAAAATAAGGAACATTTTTCTGTTTACTTTTTCAAAGATTCCTATACCGTTAGATATTTTGTGATATAAATTGCTACATTTCTTAATAATACAGTGAGTACTTTCGAGTATGAGATATTATTAGACGTAAATGATAACGTTGCTAAGGCATTTCAATAGTCTTGCAATTGTAGAAACTGCATAATTTGCAAATTATAAGTTTATAAATTATGTAAAATTTAGGTTATATTTTAATAAAATCTTGTGTCGAGATTACAATGAAACAGTCAATCGAAAGAACTTTTAAAGAAACCACAGAAGAAACAGTTGAAGATTCCATTGAAAATTCTCTTGATGATATTACTGAAAATACAATTGATGATACTATTGTAGAAACCATTGAAAATACAATTACCGAAATTATTGAAGAGACTATCGAAGAAACTATTGAAAACATAGCTGATGGCAAAATGGAAGAAACTATTGAAGAAACAATTGAAGAAACTATTAAAGAAACTGTTGAAGTAACCGTTATGAAACTAACAATGAAGCAAGATCCATTAAAGTAATGTTTTTACAAGTATAAATTGTATACTTTAATTGCAAGTTTTAACTTTCTTTTACTAAAGAACTTTTCTTATAATCTCAAAAATATTTCTGTATTGTTCTTACCATTTCTTGGTAAAATGTAAATATCTAAACCTAAACGAATAAAATAATTTTTTTTTTTGATTATCTCAAACGTAAAAAATCAGAAGCCGTGGCAAATTGGTTAGAGCGCTTGCTTTAGAAGCAAGAGATCCAGGGTTTAAATCCAGCTCTGGATATATTTCGCATCATCGGTAAGAAAGAGGTGTAAGCTTCCTGGTTAAATTTTTTTCCGTGGTGATCTGTAACAAGACCGTTAGGTCTTCTTACAGTACAGTACAGCGCCTACAGTAATAAATTATTATTGTTACTAGCTAAATAAAGCAATTCTCAATCTTAAAACAGCGTATTTAATTTCAGAATTATTCTTTGTAACAAAATGTGGTCAATTAATGTGTAACTTTTTTGTATATCGTCACATCATAAAGACCAAAGAGCTTGTATTAATTAAAAACGGACTTGTTTGTTTAAGATAAGGTATTGGTATTTTTGGCATGCCATTTTATTATAAAATTTAACAGCTGCTGTCTGAAATACCAGATTTGGTAAATCATTCATGAAATAACAACGGTCCGAAGCGGCTCTAACGTGCTGTTTACGGAATTTTAAAGTATGGCCAAAACTGACTGAGCAGACAAGTTCTGCTATTTAGGATGCGAATTTGCATTAATAATATATTTTTTCAAAATTAAAAATAAAATTTGATTTACGTATCAGAGTTTTTTAGAGTTTTTTAGCCATGACAATGTTTTGACTTCATTTCAAAAATACATAAATAAAATTTACATAAATAGTTAATAGTTTCAAAGAGTGGTATTAAAATGCTTTGGTGTCGTTTCATGCTAATTGTCCCGCATTTCAATGCCATTTAAGTTTGAAAATTTATTTTACAAAACACCCTTATATCTAAATAGTCAAATTTATAAGCCATAATAATGTCTTTATTGAAACATACTCACAGTTCATTTCTTCAAAAGAACCGATAGCCTGATTATTTATTACCATTAATTTTATTTCTTGAATTCTTTTCTGTGTTCATAAAAAAAAATTAGTGTTTTCATCGGAATATTTAACAGACAAATGAAATAAAGAAACACTGGAAATATTTTTAAAGATTGCAGCATTTTTTAATAAAAAGAGAACAACTAAATATTTACAAAGTATAAAGAATATTTCACTAAAATCAAAAAAACAACTTTAGAAAAAGGCCTTGGTCTTTATGTATCAAATGATTTTAACTGGAGTTCTTTTAGTTATACAGTCAACAAAGCACACGAAAAAATAAGATTAGTTGATACAATCAAAAAACTATTACTTTCATCTGTAGTTTTCTTTTTTGTGTAGGTTTCTTTTTGAACATTCTACACGGCAGTTTCGTAATGGAACTTTATTCTGGGCATGCGCATTAACAAATATTTTTATCTTTAAGTTTTCAATAAAGCGAGCAAAACGCAACAAAAAAAATTAAAAAGCACAGATTTAATAACTAAATTTATTATACCTTTTAAAAAATAAGTTTTTAGATTTTTTTTTATTTTAATAAATTATTAGTTGAACTAGTTTTAAAAGATACATACATATAAAAAAAAGTGTTTACTCACTTTTTATAAGTTCAAGAACATTGCAATTTTTTTAGTTACAAACTTTATGGAAGTCTAATTATTCTTGATAAATAAGTACTTTAATAAATTTTTCGTGAAAACCTGAAATGTTTAAGAGTTAAAGTTTAGGTATATAAAGAATATGTCCAATTTTGAGAAACCGGTAATTTTTTTTTCTTTGTAATTTATGAACTATTATCGCTGAAAAAATATCCGCTTTTTTAATAAAATTTCCATTTTACTAAATGAAATTACCAGATGTTAAAGAAAACGTTAGGAATTATTGTATTGGAAAACACACACACACACACACACACACACTTAAAAATTAAATCGTTATATAATATACATTTTTTGATTTTAAAATTCATCTATAAAGTTTCACGTTTCAAGCTTTTCTTTTATAAGGCTTTCTTTTTTTAATAGTTGGTCTAATTATTAAAGCTTCTGGAGAGTTTTTGATATAGTGATTGGACAAAATACTTCTCAGTCTTTGCTTTCCTTTCATATGACAAAATGTGCTGTTCATACTGTTGAATTCGGCATGCATGCTTTCTAAACCTTGCTCTCCATAAATATCAAGACCCGAATTCCAATTTCTAATAAAATCAACACAATGACTTTCTAACAAATGCATTTTTGGAGTAATGGACTCATTGGGCCATGTTTTACGAAAGTAACTCATTAATTTATCAATGGCTCTTTCTATAAAAAATTAAAAAACAAAGAAATAATTATGAACACCATTGCAAAAATAATTTCAATGCGAGTAACTTTCATAATAAAAAATAATTTAAAAAATATAATCTCACCTAATTCTGATATTGGATTCTTGTTAATTATTTCACTTGAATTCATAAAGTTGTAGCATGTCGAGTATTTGGAGAACAAAGCAACAAATTTCTTACTCAAGACCTTCGCCTCGTTATGAACATCTGTACCAATAAATCCAAGATCACTTACTATTTTAGGTATTGAATTACAAAGATCTAGAATACTGTTTAGCTAATGAATAAAGAATAAATTTTAGAACACATTTACAAAATTAATGTTTAATAACCTCTATGTATTTATGAACTTATGTATTTGAGAAGATATTTTTGAGAAAAATATGCAAATATAAGTATAGAAAAACCTTCAACATTTTATGAACATGATTCCCAATAAAACATTTTCCATGATAAGCTTGTATTTGAACATGAAGACCGCATAGAACTTCATCAAGTTTTTTCACAAGTGGTCCATGTGATTTTTCAAATGTTTTAGATCTTAACTCTTCTAATTCAATCAGCTATATATAAAAATTATATACAAAACACACACAGACAGAAGCTCTTAAATTGATTAATGCTTCATAAAAAGAAGTATAATAAATTTTATTTCATTTTTTTTGAATATTAACTCATTATACCTTAGCATTTTTCTTCTCCATATAATGGGCTACTCTGGGCTGAAATATTTCACAAATAATTTCTTTATTTTCAGGAGAAGGTAGAACATGTATTGCCATTGCTTCATGAATTAGAGTTATTTTTTCACAATATTCATTAATAACTTTTTCTCCTTCATATATTTTTAATTGAAGTGCAATATACTCATCAAAATTTCTGTTGTTTACAGTTTGATTTGTCATACACATTTTTGCTGCAATTTTTACATCTAAAAGATGACAGCCATCTTCAAGCATATTAAAAAATTTAAGATAAATTCCCAATGAGATATGTAATGATGGAATGCTTACCTAAATTCGTTAAATCAATAAAAAAAATATTAAAAATGATATAAATAAGTAAAAATCTAATATATTAGAAAAGTTTAATACTTGTGTTAATGGAATATTGAAAAGTGGCAAATCAATGACATTGTTACAAGTCTTTGCTAATTTTGGTATTCGACCTTTTTGAATAAAATTTTGGAAATCTGCATGAAGTGTTTCCAGAGTACGCTTGGAGCAACTGTGCTTTTGTTGAGAAGGATTCATTTTCATCTTTTCACGAGTTATATGACAAAACAAGCAAGCATGTTGACCTAATGTAATAATATCATTTTAAATATACAATTTAAAAAGTCATAAAAAAAACTGAATATAAAATTATACAATTTAAAAATATAAAAAATACAACTTAAAAAATGTTGTTTTGCAAAACTTTATAATTTTGTTTTATACCATTTGCACCAGTGATTCCATATGCTGAACATAAAAATTCGTAATCGCCAAAGATAAATACTCTTATTTTTTTCTCACTAAAATTTTTTTTTTTCAAAATAGAGTTTTCTGTTATTTATTATTATATAATAACAATATGACAAAATAAAAATTACTTCCAACACAGTGACTGCAATTGATTAATTTGTGGTGTAAACCTTGAGAGACCCACAACAAGGTTGGGTTTGTACTCTTTCGCTTCAAAAATACTAAAAACACTTGTGTTTCTCTTGCCATTCGGCTTATCAACATTCACGATTTGATAACACATCTTAAAGGATCCACCACCATAATCACCACCAATTTTAATGTGAATTTCATCATTTTTTATATTGGAATGCTGTAGCAAATTTTTGCTATTTAATTTTAAAATAATTCAAATTTATTTTAAAAAGTAAGTAACTTAATTTTATTAAACAACAACATTAATAATGGTAACATATATATATATATATATATATATATATATATATATATATATATATATATATATATATATATATATATATATATATATATATATATATATGTGTGTGTGTGTGTGTGTGTGTGTGTGTGTGTGTGTGTGTGTGTGTGTGTGTGTGTGTGTGTGTGTGTGTGTATGACAGCAGGTTTTAGGCTAAAAAATATGTCACAAAAGCCATGCAATATTAGGAAAGGTATATAGAAATATATATCAACCCTCATTATTAGGAAAACTAAAATCGTCTATAAATTGCCGACCTTTAGGTCAGCATCAGTTCAACACCTAGTTTTGACCTAAAGCCTTTTTTCACAAAGGCTTTACTATAGAAGACAAAATCAAGCTCGTCCAAAATTACCAACCTCAGATACTTTTAGGCTGGCCTAATTCTGAGGGCTAATATATATATATATATATATATATATATATATATATATATATATATATATATATATATATATATATATATATATATATATATATAAAAATTTATATATACAAATATATATATATATATATATATATATATATATATATATATATATATATATATATATATATATATATATATATATGTGTATACATAGTATAATATTTACTTTTTTAGCAGGTTCAGTTTGTTTATTATATGAGATGGAAAATCTTTAATGTATCCCCAAGGAGCATTTTTTATTTCAAATGAATCAATAGAATCCTTTAAAGGAAAGTTAAATGGCGCATTACAAACTACCCAATCTTCTCCAGACCAAGATTTAGCTACTTTGCGTTGCTTTTTGTTTGATGCACATTTAATATTATTTGTTTTGAGCCATCTAAAATAAAATTTTGAACATTTTGAATTCAAAAACTTTTTTATTTATTTGCACTTTCATTTTTGTTTCATGTGGTTCAATTTAAAATGTTTTACCTTGCAATTATCTTCATGTTTGAATAGGTGATTCCCATATGAGCTTTCATACTTACCATTTCTTCTGCACTTATTACTGATGAAGGAATGTTCGACATTTTCAATATTTTAATTTGATCTTTTTCTCCAAATGAATTTAAAATAGCAGAGGTTTGTTGAAGTTGTGAGGTGCTGGCCAAACCAGGAACCACATTTAAAGAGTTTATAACAGCTAAATGTCTTTTCCTAATTTTCCTCTTACTAACATCTGAGCTGTCTTTATATGCCATTGAGTTGGAAGTAAATTGCAAAGGCTAGAAAGGATTGAAATTAAATTACATTTTAACAATTACAACAAAAACTACAACAAAGTTTTATATACATTTAAAATGTGTTTACCCTTGGTCCTCCAGAAGGAAAAGAAAAAAAGTTTGATTCAGAGTTAATTTGCTTTTGCTTTATAACATGCAATGCAGCATCTTCTACAATCCGTGGAATAACATCATTTCCTTTTAATAAAAATATATCAGAAAGAGTTGTATCAAGTCCACTTGGAGTTTTTTTGCAAAAAGTCTGCAATAATTTTTCACCCATACAATTTTCTTCATGTAGTTTTTTAAGCTCATTGTCTTTAACTGCATAATTTAATTTGCATTTCTTATTGCAACCTAAAAGAATGTGCTCTATCATTTGTGTTAAATTAACAGAATTCAAAACTGAGTTTAAAGAAATAGTTTGTCCACAAATAAAGCATTTAGCTTCTGTTTCCAACTTTCCTTCAATCTCTTTGAATAAACACACTGAGCAAAATGAGTGTTGACACTCTTTTAATATTAGTGGCTTATACATAATATTGTTGCATAACTTGCATATGCACAAGTTTAAGTGGGGATTTGATACAGGATCAATATCAATTACATTTAAACGCAATGTTGGTTTTGGTATAGTACTAATTAAGTTATTTATAATTGGCCTAGTCCATCTCTTCTGATTTTGTTCCATGACACATGGTCGACCAGGTTTACATTTTTTAACTTTTCTTCCAACAACTTTGGGGAAACAAGAACAATTGCCTGCACATGGTAAAGGCCAATCAACTGGTTTAATACTAGAACTTGAACCTTTTTCAATGTTCCTTAAATTGGTATAGCATCTATTACACATCTTTTGTGGGTGAATTTTCTTATTATCAATGCTGGTGTTTATATAATAGGAATTTTCGATTCTTTCGGAATATTTATTTATATCAACTGGATCTTTTATTATATCTTCTCTGCATATTCAACAAATTAGATTTAATTTGGTTGCATGGTCCATGTTTAAAAGATTTCTAAATAAAGCAGTTACGTCAGATAAATAAAAAATGTGCCTTTAAAAAAAATTACCGGTCTCTAGAATCAACTTTAAAAAGAGATCAATAAAATGAAGAAAACAAAACAACTTAGTTTCAGCTACAGAAAATTCGTTTTATTGTAATATAGCTGATTAAAAAACAGAACATTTCAAGAAAAAAATATCACCTTTTGATTTAAAAGTTTTCGTTAAAAAACATAATTTCAACAACAAAATTTATAATATAAAGATGTATCTGCCAACTCTAAAGCAAATCGCTACGTTTTACAAAAAGTTTGAAATATTAAACATAAAAAAATTCAAGTTAGAGTAGCTGAGCTTAAGAAAATAATTATACAAAAAATCATCGAATTTCTGATGTTTTGCAACTGTTCACTACGCATGCTCAGAATAAAGTTCCAATAAGTATCAATTTGAAACTGCCGTGTCTATTCTGTAGGTTTCTTTTTGAACATTCGCAACGAAACATTCGCAAAAACATAATAATAAGATTAACTAGCTTTTGAATCTACAACATAAAAGGTTTACTATATAAAACAGATTAGATATAATCCATTTTTCCTCACTGAAAAAAGAAGATTTAGAGGTGATATAATACAAATTTACAGGTTTATCAATACCTAAGATATAGTTACTTAGTACTTAGTCCTCCAATATTTATAGAAAGTTCTATTACTAGAAACCACAATAAAGAGTATGCAGACCTCAAAGCACAAAAAACATTTATTTGACATGTTTTGCTTTAATTGGCAAAAAGGGTTTGTTCTAGGTGAAAGAAATACCTTCAGGCAGGATGGGGTACCGTGTCATATCGTGACTTTACTAAGGTTCTGCTGTTAATAGTTCAACATGCCAGTTAACTCTATCAAATTTATTTTCAATTTTAAAATGTTGAATGCAATAAAAACACATTCTTCTTGCTGTTAAAGTGACTAAATTAAGAACGTGCTGGCTAAGCCGCCGAGAGCTTTTATGATGCCTGGGGTATAGCAGTAATCAGACACCCCTATTATTATGCATATATTTTGATAAGGAATTTAAATTAAAAACATAAATAGTTACAAGTTAATGACCGTGTTTTTAATTCTAATACTATTATTTTACATTCATATTTTCAAGAAACGCATCTCAACACTTTAAATACACTGGTAAAGATTAACAGACAGATTCTACGAAATTAATATTGAAAACCCTTTTTTTTTGCTTTTTTAAAAGCAAAAAATATTACTATTTTTGTGTCAACTTTCGCTTTAGTCTCTTCCCATTTCCTAAAAATACAAATAAAAAGCAAACAAAAAGGAGTAAAGGAAGCAGGTGATCATTGAATTCGAAACCCAAGTCTATCTGTTACTTTAAAGAAAAATACCTGAAGACTGTTGGAATTATTTTTTACAACTTGCAGTTTGCAGTAAAATTTGACTTGAAGAGTTTTTTCAAAGCCCCCATCTTATAATATATATATATATATATATATATATATATATATATATATATATATATATATATATATATATATATATATATATATATATATATATATATATATAACCTTATAATAATTATATGTAATAATAAATATATTTTCTTTATTTTTTTAGGTGCTTCAAGAAGTTCTTACAGAGCACCGCGGATGAGCGTTTAATCGGAAGTTTGTCTCTTTCCAAACCGATGTCGCAAAATTTGCCCAGAGTTGGAATTTGAATCACGGATCTTTTGTTTCTGAGGCAAGTGCGCTACCACTGCGTCACGGCTGCTAAAATAAAATATTAAAATAAAATATATTAATTAAAAACATAATAATTTAAAATTTTCAATTATATTTCCTTTAATCAGCTTCATTAGAATTCATCACTTATCACCTCAAAATATATTTTAACTTATTTATTTGATTTTAATAATTGCCTTAATAAAGAAGTAGTAAAATAGCTAAATAATAAAAACTTAGCTATTGGTAATGATCCACTTTATACAAATCCTGTCGCCTAATGTTTAAGCTTTTTATATTTATTTAACGTTATAAATATTCACTGAGCATCCAGCATTGCTTAAACAATTTTTATTTTTTTGTTTGCGAGTTTTTAAAAATTGAGTCAAATACTCCGTTGTGACATGTTGTCATGGGCAACAGGATTTTTCTATGTTTCAGATATGACACTTTCAAACATTGTGCAAACTCCAAACTTAAGTATGTTCATACCTATGCCAAATTAGAAGGCTTTGCAAAAATTAGGCCTGGAATAAAAAAGCCCTAAAACGCTTCTCTACCTACCCAAACGTAAGGGCACTGATGTAGTAAAACTATCAACTTTACTATTTTAAACTAAATTTAAATTTATAGCTAGATTTAAAATTTTGTAGAAAAATATTGTGAATTACAAAAGTCATGACCATGCAAATTTTCTGACCCCCCTAAATGAGGGGTGTGTAAATTTTGCAGGGTCATAACTTTTGTAATTTACAATATTTTCTGTGAAATGTAAAAACTGTTGATGAATTTTAATTTAGTTTAAGATCGTAAAACATGTTGTATTTGCTGATTCTGATACAAAAATATGCCATGTTTGGAATAGCCCCATGTAGCCCCATTAGAAAAAATGGTAATGTGGCAAATCCAGCTTTTTGACATCATTTTTTTTTAAATCCCGTGATAATTTTTCAGGAATCATGTATTTAAGAATTATTCTTAACATAAATAGACAAATAATTTGATGAAATATGTAATGATAAAATTGACAGAGTAGTAAAAGCTTGTAATATCTTTTTTGTAAATAACGTTTACTTTAAATTTGTAAAAATACTACAAGAAAATACTACAGGGGTGGCATAGAAAAACCAGTTGCGTTATCATATAAGAATACTGAAAATAAAGTTTTGTACGCCGCGTAAAAAACGTTGTTTATTTCTTTTACAGGTAGGATTTTCGGACTCATGCAAGTTGTAAAATCTGTCAGGATTTATATAAATTATGCTTATCAAAAATTCGTTTAATAGTTTAAAAAAAGTTGTTACATTTTTCACAGAAAGAGATTTAGCTTTTTAAATTGTTAAAACTTATGGATTTCTTTTAGATGTTCGAAAAACCCATCTTTTTTTGTAGCCTTGTATAAAGTATCCTGGAAAATGCTCTATCTTCACAACTGTTTGAAAATTGCCTGACCAGTATTTTTGTGTCTTCTCGTTTTAGTGGCCAAACAAAATCATATTGTAATGGTTATACAATGTATTCATCTCCACTCAAAGATAAAGATCTTGGATGTCCTTTACTAAATTTTAGCTTTCCAGATATGTGACTATAGAAGGTAGTAACAGAAATGTTATACATTGTTGACTTGAATTTCTGGTATGGCTCGTTCAATATCTTCGAAGTAAAAGGTAGATGATTTTTTTCTTATAATGACAAACCAATATGAAAACTAAAGAAATTAACTAAAACTTATCATTTAAAATGCATATTTAAGCACCATTCACTGTCAATCACATTATTAAAGTGACTTAAAGTTAAAAAATAATTAAATTTTTTTCAACAAAAGTAAACAAAATTAAAAGGTTATTCAAGTAGAAACTACAACCATTATCTTATAACGTTAATGAAAATTTAATTAACTTAACAAAGTTAATTACTTTAATTCACATATGTTGTAATTTGGTAACTTAATCTAGTAATTAAATAAATAATTTACTTTTAATAAAAAAAAATACAAAGAACAGAGAGACAACTTTAACAATGTTCGGATTAGCTCCTAAAATGCTTGGATCAGTAATTTTTTTAATGTCAAAATTTCGGTGGAATAGGTTTAAGTCTAAAAAACGGAATACTTCTATAAATTCTAAATAAAACTTTAAAAAACAAAGTTATTTTTTGAAAGTTAAAACATTCAAAAAATTTCAAGTTTAGCCATTATGGGAAACAGAATTATTTTCCGAAACCGTCATATTTTCGAAAAAATAAATACCATATATTAGATTGATATTAGACAAGTATATTTTATATAGAATGTAATTTTGGTGAAGAAAGTTCAAAAACATTCTATAGCAATTCGTGGTTTCTTTTTATTATTATTTTTTAATAGTTTTAATTGTAATTAAGTATTAGGAGGTTTCAGTAAAGTCGATTTTTGTGGGTAGTAATTTTATATAAATTTAAGTAAAACTTTCGTAAACATAAGTGGAATTCAGGTTAAAAAATAAATTTTTTGGAAAAGGTATTGTGGTTTATCCTCCTCCGGCTAATTGCCATATGGAGGCCACATTACCAAGGCCCACAAAGATAAGTTCGGCTTTTTAAGGAGCATCATAACCCGCTCTACGGCCCAAGAGTAAAGTGAGTTAGGGAAGAACGAAGATATGTTGGAGTGAAAGACAGAAGTCGACATTAGTTGGGTACATTAATTGGGTGAACCTAGCTAACAGTACGTTTTAGCACCTTCTAACATCGGGTGCAATTCTGTCCGCTATCTCTTTGCTATCTTTTTAACTCGACTACTTCTGTCTTTCACTCTAACATATCTTCGTTCTTCCCAAACTCACCTTACTCTTGGTCCGTAGTGCGGGTTATGACGCTCCTTGGGGAGCCGAACCTGTCTTTGCGGGCGTAGGTAATGTGGCCTCTATATGGTAGTTAGCCGGAGGAGGATAAACCACAATACCAATTTTTTGGAAAAGAAGAAGCTTTGTTTGGATCGCGAATATTACAAGCTAACCGGGCAATTCACGACAACCGCCAATCGAACAAAGTCTTCTAAATAATTAGCGAAATAAGCCAATTGTTTTAAGTCGGTCAAAAACATTAACTTTCTCTCTAACATTTAATTTTTGTTTTACAAAAAGCTTGTATTTTGTATAAGCATTTACAGAGAATGCTGCTAACAGAACACGCACGACTTCTTCTTGGTTTAGCTTATTTTCAGCATTAAAAGCATCATATACTAAATAAGCTGTTTTTCTTAGAAAGATTGGAAAGTGTAACTCCAGTTTTACATCCTGCATTTTTGCTATTACTTTCGTTCGCTGTATCCGATCGGCAGCGTCCGATGTTCCATCATACGTTTCAAACATATCTAATAATTTAAAACTTGAATCCATGCCCGTTTAGGTTAAAAACATGACGAAACGACACTCGAATATTATGCGATATTCCTAAAGTCAAAGTAGAAATGAACACAGACAGTGTTCGTAATACCGCAGAAAACCATGTTGAGCAAAGAAAAAGTTTGTTGGGGACAAGTTAAGAAGGTGTACTTCAAACAAATGGTAAAGCCGAAAATGGATTCCAAGAAACTGCCACAATGAACTTGAGAACGGCGCATGCCCCAAAAATGCGACGATTTTTATTTGTATGATTCTTAAGGACCAAAAAGGAGTATAATTTTAGTGTAGAAAATTTAAGAACATTCTATGCCAGTT